TTGGGGACTATTTTCAGCTGTAGTGTATAACCAGGCATTTAAACCCTTCAAGTACTAAGATACTGTATGTGTACTAGTAAGTGACAGCATTGCCCAAACAAAGCAAATGTTGCCAAAATAAAATGACTGCATTTTTCAGCATGCAGAAGTAAGCAATAATATTTGTAGATTTAAATGATAGATGTCAATAATACATGGTTTAAGTTAGGAAGGTTTATAATCAATGCCCATACAGGACATTTGCTCATTGAGTGTTGTTCCTTTGCTTATAAGGTTGGTAGAACTAGAAACATTCAATTAAAGATATGTATTATTTCGAACATATACAGTTATCACAGAACAGAACTGTGTTTAGATTAGCAGTGAAAATAGAGAGAGAAACAGTTTTGTAGGGAAGGTGGCAGCAGAATAAGGGTTTTTGTCTGAGGAGAAGCTGTGAGAGTAATTGTTGTTGAATGCTGCGGTGGGTGATTATTAGTAGTGTTGCTTAAAACAAACTTATCTGGCTCAATGAGTTTCTTCTGAACTCAAGCCCCATGGCACACATCCACCTTACTCACAGATCAGTAGCGTGAACGCTTTCCAAACTCTTCACCCTCCATCATGACGCTGCCTGAGCTGCCAGATAAACGCCCAGAGGAGACTGTCTGATACCATAAACACCAGCAAAGAATTTAACCATGATGGATGGCGTTGGAGAGTGTCTCCACTTTGCTCAGGAACTCTGTCCCCCAACCCCAATATTTAGGCATTTTAAAATCAATAAGTTATGTTCCTGGGTCTGTGTACATATTGTGCTGAATAAACCTCTTGAGTTATTTAATACAAACTGCTTGTGCCCCCAAAAGAATCAGGTCTGAAAGGAAAAAGATAGTTTAGGGGATTAGATGTTCTTTGTAAAAGGAAAATACAGTGACTAATGGGTGTGTGTATATGTGTGTCTTGGTGTTGCTTAATGTGTGTATTTAGAGACAGCCTTAGGTCTTTGGGATGGCGCTGTTCTGCTGCTCCCACTTTAATTGGCTGCTGGCCCCTCAGCCTCGCCTGAATGGAGAGTCATTTAGGGACCTTTCACTCTCATAGAGGATTGTCGGTTGCCGCTGCAGGAGAAATTGCATTCCTGTTTCCATACAATGGCTGGTCTGAGTCGGGATGGGGCAAGAGTATCACTGTCATTATCATGACAATGGAAGCTAATTCCACTGCCACTAGCGCCATTCTGAAACCCTCTGCAGCACCAGCTTATCAGGGGGCACCATGAGACCAGGAGGAAGCTACACGAACACCACATCTGAGGCAAAAGATTCACACACATACAGTGCACACTCACAGACAGACAGACACACAAACACATTCAGGACACACTCTTTGTTTAGAGAGGCTGCCACGGGCGTGAACCAACACATCAGCAAAAAAGTTTATTAGACAGCACAGCTCACTTAGTGACACACAGTGTAGCCAAAGAATACATTTTCACAAGCAAATAAAGGTAACAATCATCAGTGGCTATCAAAAGCATCAAGCAGAATTTGGAGTAAATGTATAAAAAATGATGCACAAGACATCTAGGAGTCTAAGGTTTGGATTTTACACTCAAAGTAAATACCATACATTATATTGCTTCAGAACAAGATAATATAGAATGTATAATATGATGTCAGACAGAGATGAATAAGAGATAATTTTGAAAACTTAAAAAGAATAGTTAGCATTACAGTTTGGGAATTATGCTTATTTTCTTTAAGTAAAGGGAGCTGATTGAGTGGTGTCAATCTTCTCATCTAGGTCTCAGCAAGAAAATGAATAAAGTGAACTGAAGGCAATTAGAGCCAGTTGCATATGGCAGCTATTAGTTGTCGAAGAGAAGTTTATGGGAGGTTTCACTTGTACTGTGTAGAGGTACTTTACTTACAAAAGTAAAAATATCAAATGTGTTGAGTAAAGCGGAAACTCAGTAGAGCTGAAAGACAATTAGGGTATTGGTCTACTCTTCTTGTTCCCAGATGTTTAAACCTCTGACCTCCTCCTTGCTTTGTTCATTTACACCATTCCACTGCAGCTCTGCACGTAGGTCTGACCCCATTATCTGCAGCCTATATCCCCCTCTTCCCTCTGTGTGTATCATCATCTACAATCCAGCAGGATCTTCCTCTGTTCACAGAGAGGGCAGCATGGTGTCGGAGCTTGGAGCCGCCATTAAACACTCTTTGACCTGATCCACATTTAAACCACACACACTAGACCACAAATGCACATACACACAAAATCCCTGTGGTGTGTAATGGTAACACACCTCTCTTCTTGTATCAGGTTCAAATCCTGGAAGGACTTTCCTCGGGATTTCTTTTACTACTTTTACCACACTGTACAAAAAGAAAATACTAAAACATCATACTTTGACTAAACATAATCCCTTCTTTAATGTCTTAAAGAAGAAAGAGGTCCAGTGTGTAACATTTAGGAGGATCTATTAGCAGAAATGGAATATACTATCTATTGGTATGTTTTCATTATAAGAACTGTTGTGTCTGTTTTGACACTGCGGGTTACCTTCCATGGAGTCTGTCATATTTAAACTGTGTTTCTACAGTAGCCCAAAAGACAAACGAAACACTAACTCTAGATATAGGCATTTGCGCTTTTTGCGTGTTTCACAGCAACCGTAGTTTCTCCTTTGCACTTGGAAGGGAAGGGTGAAGCAACTATGTTGCAATTTGCAACTACAGTGTTAGATGCCACTAAATCCTACATACTGGTCCTTTATGTGTTCAGCATGTTTCATAAGTTTTTTAAAATGTATTTTTACGTAGGAAATATGATGCATTTTTAACACTTAATAAATACTAAAAAAATCTAATTCTTCGAAAAAATATTGTAATGTACAACATATGTGATCCTTATCTTTATTCCTTAGTTTTAAATGTACATACTTTGAAAGCAGTATTTGCAGATTCTTGCTGTAATTGCTAAGATCAAATTAAATATAATACCGTTTACTGCTCAGTCTGAGTGAAGCACATCAAGAAACAATTGCTGCAAAGCCATTTACTATAAATATTAAGGTAAACCAGTTGTATAAGGTAAATAATTTCAGCAATTTACATGTTATTTCTAACAGTAATTCTCCTTTTTTTATTATTTTCAATATTTCTTTATTTCTTTATAAATTATTATTAATTGATTAATATTGCATTGTTTTCTGTTATTACATGTTCTCTCCTTGTTCCTTTGGACTACATTACTGTAAAGAAACATTGCTGTCCAAGGTCCTGAATCAATCTTTCAGCAAACAGAAAATTCCTTCCAGAGTTTTTTATGATTATCTAGACCAGGATTTAGACACACTGCATATGCCGTTTGAACAAAAGAAGAAGCAATCTTATCTATTTTTTGTATACTCAGTGACAGTTTTCCTTTACTGCCCAAGATTATTTCTCCAGTGAATACAAGATCCACTGGCTCACATGATGTTCCGTAATTATTTGCACAGCTGCTTATGTGTAGTTTCTCGAATCAAACTTTCAAATCCCTTTGTTGTCAACTTCTTCTAATTACTAAACATCATCAGAGAGAAATCAGGTTACTAAATAAAAATAAATCACTTTGTATACTGTATTTTGCTCATTGAATGGCTATTTTATTGGTGCCTATCTTGTGTAATATTATACAAACTGACAGGTAGCACAGGTGACAAAAAAATCTCTTCAAGAAATAATTTCCATGCTCTCCCAACTAAATCCTTTCTCCTGTTGTATGTGCTCTTATCCAGTCTTTATCTATAAAAATACATTCCCTTCCTTTCCATGATTTCTCTCTTGCATGAAATCAAAGGAATATTTTCTGAGGTCAGACCATTATTTGAGGGACTGAAGCTCATTCTACATTTTCAGTTGAGTGTCAAATAACATGGTTAAGAGTCCACAGCTGTGCTCTGTGAGCTGTACTTAGCCACAGCAGTAATCTGACTGCACCAGATAGTGTGTTAGACAGAACCATCTGGGAAGTTGTTGTTGGAAACTGTTTGGAAAAGCTCAGGTGCATTCAAAAAATACTCAGCAGGTGGGCCCCCAGATAGCTCACCTGGTAGAGCTGGTGCCCCACGTACCTCAAAACCTCAAATGTGAGACTCATGATAGTGCTTGAGGAAAAGTCAGTAGAAAGTAAAAAAAATTGTATGGCAATCCATTTATTTTTTTATTATTTATTTTAGTCTGGACTAAAGTGGTGGACTGACTGACCAACAGACCACAATCCCTAGAGCCCTGCATAGCTAAAGACCATAAAAAGTAATATTGCTTTCCAGGATGCATACCTGTGCATTAGAATTGTGTGCTCCAAAAAAAGTCTGATGAACTAAAAAAAAAAGAGACCGACTGTTACTAATAATAGAGCACTTCTCCTTATCACTTATTTAGTTTGTACTTATTTTATTTCAATTTATGCTGCTAAATT